CGCATTCCACTGCAATTTCTTGACTGATTAAAATATTTTGCTCTCCAAGTAAATATTTTATGCTAATGGATAAAAGCTTTATTTTCAATTTGGATGATGCTGCATTGCCGACACTGACTATGCGGTCATGAAGATTATGAGAAACTATGAAGGACATTTTGCCGTGCGATGCTCTTCCCACTTCCCTCTCTGAACTGTTTCACAGCTATGAATGAGAATGACTTTATAAATGAGAGAGACATTCTTTAAAAGATAGCTTGCATATCCTGAAGATCAACTATCAATCTCTATCATCCAATTGATAGCCCCATACGAGAGATGAAATCAATGAGAAACCAAATTAACTAAACGGGAAGTAGTGTAAAGTGATTTTGATTTATCGTGAGCAAATGAGCATTTAAAATAAAGTATTGCAAAGACGAATTAGAAATACGTTTCTAGAATTTTATAAAATGAAGCTAATTTTTGTATGGACAATTTCGTCTCAAAACGCATATCTCCTGTTTGGTTATTGTCTAATCTTTTATGCTAAATTTTAGGTCAATGAATGAATCTCTTACTGAATTTGTAATTTCAATTAATGTCAGTACACCTTAAACACATTTTTCCCATGAGCGGGAATTATAACTGATACAAACGAAATATCCAAGTGTCGTTATTTTACTACTGTGACTGTGAGGGATGAGAGAAATAAATCTCGATGTGCAAGGATTTAAGTGCATTCGTTAAACCATTAAGAACGGCATGCATAACAAAAGTAAGTGAACAGTCTGGCTTTATACGATAAACTTTGCTTGTTAATACATTAGTATACAGTTCAATGTCATTTCTTAGCTAAATAAATGTACAGTCGTACCTTAGTCTAGGCGTAACGACGCCCATGGGGTCGGAGGCGGGAGCCATCTTGCAGGTGCTTGTCATGTGGGCCGCCGTGCTGCTCCAGCCGTGCACGTAGCACCGCCAGTAAGCGTCAGACTCGAACTCGAAATGCGCGCAGTCAGGGACCGGCTGCAGAAAACACGTGTAAAATTGTTTTATTTTTTTCGCACATGAATAAACATTGTAATATCTATACATTAATTAAAGAGCGTGAGCATAAATCGATTCATTAATAAAATAAACTTAGGTCACATAATGGTCAAGAAAAATTATTTTAGACAATCAAAAAGACACTCTTGAACGTTTTAGTTTGAAATCATCGATCTAATTTGTGGTATATTCAGATTAGGATGGATATTGTCTCGGATGTCTTTAAACTATGCTTTACTTATTTGAAATAAAGAGTTAATTCGACTTCTTCAGCTACCTTACCTTGTATTTAATCGTTATTTTGCATGAGAACGCATTCATTGAACATAGCTGAATATATTTTCCGTGTTACCACGTATTTTTGTAAATTAAAGCTACATGTGCAAGTCCATCATTTGGGAAAAATTGTGCATTGTGAAAAATAACCAATACGACAAAGTAATAACCAATGCTTCTTGTCTTACAATGCAAGACAAGAAGCGGGCTGCGTGATAATCGTAAAACATTTCGATGTTGCAAGGGTCTTAGCATTTCATCGGGATTTTATTTTGGTCTTACCTTAGTGAAAGCTTCAGCACCGAGCGCACTTCGGAATATCTTCCCTTCCCTTTGGAATATCTTGCATTCCCGATTCCTCTAGCTGCTTTTGCAGCTGCAAAAAGGATTGTGTTTATAACAATAGGGAAATAGGGAAAATTTTCCTAAGTAGGTGAAAATGTACGTGCAGATCAAATTAAGTTTGACTTAATTTCTGACCATTATTACTTGCGAGTTGATTTGTTTTGATCATTTATTTTAAACTCTTTAATCATATTTGCTATCAAGTTTTACCGACAGATTGACGGGTTGGGCATGGGTCTTACGCTCGGCCTAACCTTTGCGAATATTTTTATGTGTTTTTACGAGGTTTCCTGGCTGTCCAATTGCCCTCCTGAATTTAAGCCAATATTCTACAACAGATACGTTGATGACACTTTTCTACCTTTTAAGCATCATTCTCACGGTAAACTCTTTTTCGATTACCTAAATTTGCAACATTAATCCATCAAATTTACTATGGAACTGGAATCTAACAATAGCCTGTCCTTTCTCGATTGCTATATTAATAAATCTAATGGCTGTTTTCAAACTTCTGTAATCCGAAAATCGACTTTCACAGGTCTCAGTACCAGCTTTTTTAGCTTATGCTCGTTTCGATTTAAGACTAATGGAATTCAAACACTTTTACATCGGGGCTTTCGTATTTGTTCTACTTACAATATTCTGCATGCTGAATTCGAAGTTTTACGCAATAACTTTTCGCTTATATTCCGACTAATCTGGTGTTTACCCAAATAAAGAAATTCAAGCCCAAGCGGTACAAATGAGATTGCTCCCGAACGCGACGGTAGTGATGTTGTTTATTGCTCTCTTCCATATTTCGGCCCTACATCCGAAACTATGTCATGGAAGCTAAAACTTTTGTATTTCGCAAATGTTAATCTTTGTGTTATTTTGGTCAACAATTAAAAATGTTTTTTTTTTGGTACAAAGATACTCTCCCTATGCATATGCGATCGTCCCTAGTTTATAAATATAGTTGTGCACGATGTGCATCTGCGTAAGTCGGCATGACGTCTCGCAATCTTAATTCTAAGGTCGCAGAACATAGGGGCAGGTGTTGTAGAACTGGTAACTTACTCATTCGGCTGTGCGGGCTCACGCCGAGCAGTGCGATGTTCCAGTTACTGAGAGTAACTTCAAAGTTTTAGCTTCCAGTTCCGGTATTTCTGATTCGCGCATTTTAGAATCATTGTATATTTTTAAACAGAGGCCTAGTTTGAATTTGGCTTTTAGCTCTTACCCGCTTGAAATTGTAAATAAGTAGGTTTTACAGCTTAGGTTTTTTTGTTGTTATCTTGACTGAACTAATTACCGATTTATCTGTGTTCTAGAATTTTCGAACTGACGATGGAGCTGGACTCTGAAACGTTTTCTTTAAAGATACTATGAATTTTTGTGGAGTTTTCTTTGCTTCTAAGTTTTTGCTAAAAATCAGAATATGAATCGGATTACTATACAAATGAAAGACATATAGAATAAATTTCGTACTAACTATAAACACCGCTAAATTTATACGCTCATAAGACAGAACTAATGTTAACACAGTAACACGTATCTCCGTGTGGGCAAAACAAAGCAATAACTAACAAGCTGTGGCTAAACGAGGTGACGTATGAGATGACTTAAACCCTGAATGACAATTTATTAGTATCCTATCTCGTGAGACTTTACACCAGTACAACTCTGAAATGCTAACTGCGACTGAAAATCACTCAGGTTGGCCTCATGAAAAGGTTACTGGGCCTGTCTGTGGCCCAGTGGTTACTGTCACCCATAGTCGAGGCCAATTAGCACTGAAAAAAGCGGTCGTTAGTACTTGAATCCTGCACTGGCTGCCTTTTCTGTCCTGTAAAAACATCATTAGTCAAGCGTTGTCCGAGGAAATATTCGATTGCCCGATCGTCCTTGCCTGCTATCGCAACGCAGCGAGTTATAAACGAGTTGAAATGCCGGGGTAATTATTCGTATGCCCGTATAACGTATTTTCTTCGCTAACAACTAAAACTTTAAAGCAAATATTTAATTATGATTAATCATAAGTAATTTTTAGGGTCTTCAATACGTGCCGTGCAAGCTAAGAAATCATTAAGCTTCCAGGTTCAGAGCCTAAATTTATCGGTATCCTATTCTGCTCGGTTGCTATCCTGATCCCGATCGCATTTGCGATATGCGATGAAATCCCTTCAAAAACAGGCTTATAGCTCCCTTCTGTAGCAGGCCATGAGACGACCTTCAGGCGTCATCCAATCTGCAATTGGAATCACTCAAAAAAATTTTTATGGGCCGTAAAAAATTATTCTTCTTTTCTCTTTTTTGTATAGCTACTGGGCCTTAAAAAATATTCACTCATTCATTGTGATACAGGGCATTTTTTGTCCTGTATTCATGACGCGAGCATTTAAGAACTTTGAATGCTTAAAAAATCACTAAGAATTGGGCGGGGCTGTTACTGCTACTGCTTGTGATACACGTGATGTCAAAGTGGCTAATTTTATCCGGTGGATCGCTGGACCGTAACAAATTTTATACATAAATCGACCGTTGTTGTGCAAAAAGAATGAAATTAAGGTTGATAACGCTATCGCTCCTGCATGCTGCGTGCCCAGCGATATAAAATGTCGCTTTAGGCTGCGTGTAGCAGTGTAGCTGTTGACCTTGGGGTCAGAACTTAATCATTCATGGTCTTGTAGAAACTGAAATTAGCTACAAACGTCATCAGTTATTATTGAACGGGTTACCGTGTTGGCAGCTGATAATAATTTAGTAATTACAATCGTATTGTTGATTATGTTCATTTACTGTACTAAAGAGTTTTCCATGTGCGTTGATCTGTCTTGGGAAAAATAACTGCCTCAGCTGCTTGAATGAATTTTCCTCTATAATTAGAAATAGAGATTTTCAAACTTGTCTGCTATGAGGATACCGACGAAAAGTTTCATTCAAATGGGTAGATAAAATATTTATTACATGACAAAACAAACTAGCTTATTTAAGCGGTTGTTAGTGCAGAATATTTCATAAAATATGTTTAATTATTAAAATTTTATTCTACGTCCTAAAAACTAAACGTCAAGTTTGGGACCTTGGGATTGCTCCTATACTACACAGCTCGACACTAAATACGGTTTTGTCCCGTCCAGAATTTTTATTTATAATTTAAGGTTAGGTAACTTTCAAGTACAAACTGCAACTAATTACCATGCAGGCTGATCTTGTGCAAAGGGTTACTGAAAAAGAGATAGAAGTGCTGGCCTCATGTTTATCTCTCACCAATGTTCGTGTCCGTGTTGTAGTCGCTTTCCTCAGGCACCACCTAATCTGAAGCTAGCGCGGCTTTAATGGTTTCGTTCAGCAGACTGAGCTCTCACCAATGTTCGTGTCCGTGTTGTAGTCGATTTTCTTCAGTCCCATTTCCTCGCCCGCTCTGATGGCTACGCGGCCCGCCGGAGGCACCCAAGGAATCTCTTCCACGCCGACGGGTCCTCCAAACCCTCTGAACGGTGCTACATGGAAATTAAAAGTGGATTATATGTTAGTCGTATGGACACCATTATACTTGCTAAGCAATTTTTATGAAGTCAGCATTCACGTAACGCAAACCTCAACTTATTCCGCAATAACCCACCAGATGGTCACACTCCTCAGTTTAACACAATCGTGAGAATTAAGGCGACCGTACATAAAACTTTCACCCAAACTACGAGAAAGATTAACAATGTGTGTATGAAATCTCAATTCCAGACTTCGGAGGTCTCTGTTCACTGCGGTGGCGCTAGCCGAACAACCAAAGTATAGTTAATTGCCACTATTCCGCAGGTCAGGCTTGATCCGGCAGCATCGTCAGATTCATACTTTGATTAAAAGTCATTCGAATATAAAGGCATCAATTAAATATATATTTCACTCCTCTCCACACCAACCGTGATGAATTCAGTATAACTAGCAAAAATCCATTCAAGCCTTCAGTTTTCTTCGGAATATAACCCATTCAACAATAGCAGTGCCACGCACTTTTTGAATGCATGTTTCACCATACTTGCACGGAGTCAGATTCGTTCTTCAATTTTCGTTGGACGGATTCTAATATACAAGATCATGGAACATATTTAATCATGAATATATAACGCACACTTAATTAATTAATTCCTTTATTTCCTTGATTAATTTACTGTTCCGTCGTATGAAGATTCATTAGTATCTATTACGATGGATAAAATTTGCTATGTCTTCATTTATGGAAATAATTTAAAATTAACTACTAAAATTAGTTTTTTATTTGCTAGGTACTCTGAAGAAAAGTAAAAGTTCATGCTTGGTGACGACTTCTAATTTCATTCACTGCAAAAATAAAATCTATATGTGTCAACATGAATTTGTTCTCATTCTCTTGGGGAAATTGTAACTGCTCGCCATCTCTCGGCTTGACAGGGACTTCTTGAAATACTCGAGGACTGTTGTTTAATCCCAGCCTCTATTGCCTAACGCTGCCCAGTTTTTGTAATCCTGAGGGTTGCCGCGGTGGTACATCAGCTGGTTGATGGTTCCGGAGCCACCAATAACTTTTCCCCTCGTGTACTCAACTTCCTAAATGACGATATTAATATTAACTATTGACAATCTTCCAACAAGTAATTTTGCTAATGTAAGACATACATATAAACATTCAGGAATTATGTATGCTTACTTAGATTTTTAAGGGGGGCGTCTACCCTAAAGTTTTCGGATTTGGCTTTTCCGGTTTTAGTCTCATCTTGAAGCTGAAATTCTGCCCTATCCAACGGTGCCATTACCATCTCTGTACGTTGATTTATGCGTTCACGACAGATCATGGGGGAGTTCTTTAACAAATAGAATAGGAGGAAATTCGCTGCGAGCACTTTAAATAGAGTGTCTGCTTGAGGTGCACCTTAGTTACCCGCCTGACGTCGTATGAGGAGGTGCACATGCAGTCGCTCCCACCATCCTTGACTGGAATCAAGCTCCAGTAACGTTTAGTTTAGTATCCTTGCTACATTGAGTGCCTATTGCGACGCGCGCGGAACTTTGTCGCGCTGTCCTGAACATTCACAGTTATTGTCACGGCAAACCTATCTCCTCCTAGAGTTTTGAAGCTACAGTGACGAGACATATACCATTCGATTCGTAAAGACCATACCTATCGATTAACGAAGCCTTTTTTTAGATTTGTGCATAGTTTGCATTCGAAATGGGGGGAGGGGAAAAATTTTGAAGCAAATGAGAAGAAATGAGAAAAAGCGGGAAAATGCGTGTAAAAAATAAGGATTCGTTACTCGATTGGTATGGTCTTCACGAATCGAATGGTATATCTGTCAATGCTGTAGCTTGAAAACTTTAGGAGGAGATAGATTTTAAAAGTACCCCCTTTTTGTCCGTTTTCTATCAATTTTTCCGAAAAAATCATCCGAACAAAATCTGCTTGTATTTCGGTTTTACATATATGTGTGAAGTTTCAGAAAGATCCGTCTGTAAATGTGGAAGTTTTTCTGGAGGGTAGACGCCCCCCTAAAACTCTTTTTAGTTTCTAATTAATTTTCGATGGTAGAGGATGTACATCTATGATGGTAAAGTTAGACTGCGCTCTGGCTAAGTCGTAATAAGCATTTCTCTGTGGAGCAAATCATTTTGTTTGCGCTAAATCATTGCTAAAATAGCAATCAATTTGTATCTTCAAAACTGAGCATGTAAATGTCCAAATATTAGTTTTTAATTATTAATGTCAATAATGAAATTATTGTTCACGACATTCAGGGTCGATGATATTACCACGATTTGAATAGATTTAAGTATTGGATGGATTGAAGTTTAAATGAAAAGCGGAGAAAAAAATGCGGTCAGAAACCAGTTTTACAAGCAGAACCGTTAACCTTCTTAAAATCGGCATTAATTAGGCTATCGCGTCTTATTAAAATATATTCCTGGCGCTTAAGGATTGAAAACAGCACCTTACCTTCTTAATATCTGTATCGCAATGATGGGATGGGTATCGGTCTTACCGTGCTTTTTGCGAACCTATTGGTGTATTTTTTGAGGAGGTGTCTTGTACTCGTTCTTGTAAGTGGCATTAGGAAACTCTGAGCCAATGTTGAATGCTGGAATTTTGAAAAGCGCTGGAGGTTGACCTCCAGTTTCGAAAACCAGCACATCCCAGTCTGGCACCGTAGCCAGTCGCCCCGCCACCACACTTCCCGCCGACCCTGAGCCAACTGAAAAGAAAATACATAAAAAACTTTTTAAAAAACAACGTTTTTCTTGTGGACTAAAAAGTAGAAAATAAATTATGGCTCGCCCCAAAAAACGTGTGTCGGGCAGATTTATGATTAAAGCGAAAAGCACACAACACACGAATTTTGGAAATTTATTTATTTTCTACTTTTTAGTCCACAAGAAAAACGTGGTTTTAAAAAAAGTTTTTTAAGTATTTTATTATGATTGTATCTGAAATTGTTAGGCGAAAATAGCCTGCATGCTGACTTTCAGATCTCTAGAGCAATCAAAAGTGGGCTAATTTTCGTTGTCAATATTAACAACAAACAAACAAACGCGAAGCTGAGTAAAGAAAAACGTGTTAATAACAAATACAGATTAATGATCACCAAGGCTGTGCGTACCTTAACGCCATTTAAATAAAGCTACGGTTATAATGTTCATAATGCACGTTGATTTATTTCCGCAAAATTACAATAAAAAACGCGAATTGGCTACTACGGAGGGTCAATATGCTTCATCTAACACCCCAGATGAGAAGCTCAGCCCAAGTTGCACAAGCAAAATTTATTTCAAAAATAAATGAATACAGGTAAAATGTTTATTTGCTCCCATTATATACTGATGTGTCTCTGATCCAACAATTAACATTCGTCATTATTGAAGTTATTTTCACAAACCCTATTGAGACCCTCTATTCAACCGTCTGGAAAAATTGTTAGACTATCATAGTTCAATCGATAAGATTCAACTGATATAGCATGCGAGTGAGCAGAAAAAATTATTGATTAGACTTGAGTGGATGGAGATAGACATCCAGGATAGGATAGGTTGAACTGGCAACCAATATAAGATCCAGAATCCAAAGCCAGGCCTGGTAACTGGCTTTGGAAGCCATGATCATGGCTTTCAAAATGAACCCGGGTGAGCTTGACCTAACCCGAGAATATTCATGACTTATTCACGAAAAGCTTGGAATATTCATGCCATGATTTCGGGAAAATATGGCCTTTTTTGGCCAATTTGCGTCGGGCCATGCTTTTGGCACGACCACTCTTGGCTTCTTGTTAGTCCAACATTACCCTAACGAACGAGAACCTCGTTCGGTTCTGGTAAGGTTACTTTGAGTTAGAGGCACAACGCGGCCCTAACAAACTGTTATGCAGCTTTAAGCAATTATGCCTTCATGTTGCTTCAGTGCACCATCGCGTCTATCAAACGCGGCATTTACTTCGGGACGTGAAGCTCACTATCAACTCGCGGTGACAGGACAGGTGTCGAGATGCAATCGACTGGGCTATATATACGTGTTGAATAGCGTTAAACAACATAGCGTTCTTAAATGAACGAGTCCATTCCAAAATGCAGTTTGGTCACATAAAATGGTCTTTTTTCTTCATCCCTATCCACCAGTAGAAACGGAATATCGTCTTCATTGTTACACATCTTTATCGACGTCAGCAATCAAGAGAATTGCACTGGAAAATTTTGTCATTTTCCGACCAAATAACGAGCTTGAATACTGCTACTGGTGTACCTTGTTGGAGCCTTGCAGCAATATTTATATTTATAAGCATAAACATTTCATTAATGTGTCTCTGCAACAAAAGCTGCATCCTATACCTCATATATTTAATTAAATAAACCGTACCATTATTTGTTTAATGAATAGAATCAAAAATGTTTTTATGTCATTCGTTGTTATTGGTAAAAATACTTGATTTTCTAAATAATTATGGCGGTTGCAAACGATTTTTTTACTGCCTTACCTACAATAAAGTCCACGACGATATCCTTAGGCATGACACTCGTAGGATACCTAACAGGATGTACTAAAGTGCCGGCAATTATGGCCATTAATTTCACTATTATATTTATAAAGGATAAGTTTCACATCTTTTATTATTTTACAAATTAACAGCAAATGTTTCATAGGTCGGCACCTCGTTCCAACTTTTAACCTACATTTGTTCCTTATAAGTTTGCACTTTTAATATTAGAACTTATCAGACACAAACGAGAATAATATTGAAGTGCAACTTACTTTGCCGGTAAATTCGATACTAAAAACATTCGATAGGTTATGTGCCCTTAAAGCTGAGCCTCGAAGCACGATTAATTAGAGGAGTAAAACTTGTCTTATACGCGTTGCTAATGGAAGTCCCAGCTGAGATTGATTTTTCGCGTGAAGTGAAACTGACAGATTGTTCATTGGGAAATAAATTTTAAATAAGTTCCACGTAGAACGAATTTCACTGTGTGTTCCAAGCAAAAAAGCTTTATGTCGAAGGATAGGTAGTATTTTCCCAGTCGAATTCGTCTGGATGATCCTATAATGATTTTCATTGATATAAAGCCATGAATCTCCACGCAGGAATAAACATAATGATTTGATTTTTCCAGTAGTATTTTTTTGTATTCGCACTTTCATTTTCTGAGTCTAAGTTGGAATATAAGACATTTATACCCAGGACGATCTTGCTCGATATGCGGATCAAGCTAGCGACGAACATTGTGTTTTTGCCAATTAATGCTTAATTATGTCTAGCTTAGCAGCAAATTTAGCAAAATTAGAAGCTATATTAACGTTCGTGAATAACAACGGTTTATAAAAGAAATCACTTGGAAAACAGACTTAGCTAAACTAGCAAAGATATGATTTAATTCTGCCATGGGGGTACTTTCCATGCACGTCTGGAAGTGGAAAACCAGGGTGGGCGTTAGGCATTTATTCAAGATTATGGAACCAACTACGATAATTTCACTATCTTATTTCATTACATGTTATAATGAGGGCTGAGGACATTACATGTTATGTCATGTCATAACATGACATAACATAGCATAACATGACCTAACATAACATAACATAACATAACGTAACATAACATAACATAACAAAGCATTATATAATAACATAACATAACATAACAAAGCATAATATAATAACATAACATAGCTTAACATAACATAACAATGCATAACATAACATAACAAAGCATAACCTAGCATAACAGAACGTAACGTATCAAAATATGACTGGCCAATGGCCTATTCTAACCTGGTGTGGCCTGTAACCGACTCATGGAGATTTTGTGACTTGTTCACAGGAGATCGAAAAATTAGCGTTTGACCAGACTTTCGAAATAGCTGCTGGACTTTTAACAGGTTTGCAAGTTGCTAGGCATTTGAACACTGAACATTTACTCGTGCTCAACATTATTAAGTCTGTTCTTGAACACGTGAATACTCGGAACGTAAACGGCTGCTCCACATGTCGGTGACTCGAAGTGAGAAGAAATGTTGTCGGATGGGTGTGTTGCACCGCCTTTTTTTAACTAAACTGAACTGACCTGAAAACCTCGTCAGTGGAATGCTATTGCTCGAAAACATCCTTCTGTTCACATAAGTTCTGCAACACTAGACTGCATGCCATAAATTTACCTTTCTGTGGGTAGAAAATATTTGTTCCAATCTGCTCCCAATACTCAGTTGACGGCCTCGTAAAGATTTCCAGTAACAGCTTCAATGAAAGCTTCCACGAGGCAGAAGAAATTAATCATGTATAAATTCATCATTTGAAAAATCACCTGTTGTCACAGAGACGCTGGCTCCACTCGAGCCTCTAAATTTTAGAAATGTTGGATCGTGGCATAAGGCGATGAATGCAGTGGGACAAATAAGCGGACACATGGTAGAAAATGTATATAGTTTTGGCAGTCATGGCCCTAATTTTTTTGTTTTTTACCATGAACATTTATTTGCTGCACTGATACGTGGAGAGTGTAATTTTAACGCAAACTAGTGAGACGATCAGCTCGGCGAACTTTTTTACTTTCCTTTTTTTTCTGTAAGTGTTTAATTAACACTTTATCCTAAATTGTTTTTTTCGTGATTAAATTTTTTCAGCTGGGACATATGTACAGCCCAAAAGATGAAACTCTAAATGTTAGTTATAAATGTGGTAGGCTTTTCAAAAATTTGTTTTTGAAAAGGCTTCTATGAGAGCTCAGTATATTCAGACTCTGTTGGCAGTTGTCTCATATGTAAATACGCTACCAATTTTAGGATGTGCTCTTTGGTATGACTAATTAAGTCGGTGCTCTTGGTGTGACTGTTAGTGTGACTGTTAGTCTTTGTTAGTGCTAACTATGTATTTCATAGCTGTGTACTTACTTATTTATCTGTTACTCTGCTGTACGCTAGCCAGCCATCTACTTGTATAGTTGTATTACAGCTGAGTGTTGAAGGGTGGCGGAGTATGTGATTGCGTTGGTACGTGTAGATGTGTTTGTAAAATCTTCTGCGTAAGATGAACTTTTTTTGTCATGTAAAGCTGGTATTTTGTTCTTACAAATGCCTAAAGTTACTACTAAGGCAAAAAGTTATTGAGTGACTCCATTAGGATTTTTTCCGGGTGATAGCTCGTAAATATAGCTCGTTAGCTAAAATTTGCCCAGTGGTTACAGTTCAGAGTGCCAAGATTGGCGCCGAGAGGCGCGGGTTCGATCCCAGCTCTGTGCGCCAGTTTCTGGTCAGAATCGGCAAGAAGGTCGGGCGGTTAAGCAAAGAAAATTTGCAAGCCCGCAACAAGCTGTGGATGTTCTGCAATGTTAAGAATCAGCGAAAGGCTTACGGCCTAATGAACGCTGAAACCGCTACATTATATTATTATTATAACAATTGTTCACGGAAATTTTCCTATGTACTTTCTCTTTAGTTATGCCACAATTTCAGTAATGCCACAATTTCATGCAAAATAAGTGGCAAGTCCCTTAAAATTATACTTAAGATCTTAAAATCGTAACTTTCTCTTTGTTTTCCTTCTGGAAACCAAAAGTCTTCAGCTGCTATGGATTTTCTCAAAAGGTAGGTGCATTGGTGCGTTCACGCGTACTTTCCTGGAAATCTTTGTGCAAATATAACATTATTATACCTACTTTCAGCTGACAACCTATGACAACTTAAAATACACCTAAATTATGACACTTTCACTCAAGGCGAATTTCAGAAGTTTAGGGTGCCAAAGTAAACACCATACGAATCTGAAGTTCGCATCCAAATATTTCTACTGACTTGTTCGTACCGTTAACTTCTATTGAAGTTTCGCCATATGGTCTCGAATAACAAAGTTTTTTCGGCAACCTTACGCGGTTGCCTTAGTTTGACCATAGTGAATGAAAAATTGCTCAATTCGTGGCACGGATTTTTGGAGAAGATTTCATCTGGATTGATCTTTGAAGCACAGAACGCATGAAAACCCATGACCTTACGGGTGATGATTCAAATTCAAGTACCTGTTCTCAAACTATTTTCATTCAGAATTTTTGAAACGTTAGACAGCATTGCATGGTAGGTTGATCACCCTCAGCTGTTCAATCACTTCCTCAGCCCTGGAAGAATGCAGAATAATTTTGGAATGAAATTATCCTCGATGGAATCAAAACCAGAAGAGTTAGCAATGGAAAATAATGGCCTTTTAGCAACAATTAAGAATTTTAGCCGACAATATGATACCGGCCTTTGCATAGGACTCTTTATTTATAATTTCAAGGACCTGAAGGCTTGCGATAGCACACAACTCACAATGGACTGCATTTCGGTCTCCTTCTCATGGCGCGGAAAATAGCTCGACAATAGTAATATGGTCTTTGTTCACTATGCAGATCTAAACAATATTAGCAGTCATGCAGAGTTAATTTTAGAATTATAATAAACAATGACAGTCCAGTTGAAGTCGTGCGTCCACAATAGGGATGTTCAGACTTAATAATAGGGGACTTAATAATAGGGATGTTATTAAGTTTGAAGATAAGCTTCTGGCTTATAAGGACCGGCACCTGCCACAGCAGTAGTAGATGCATTGCTGAGGCATAACTTTGCCTGCCTCAACCCGCGGTGTGGTCCGCTCTCCGTAGATTTGTCGTCATTGACGATTATTTTAATTCGGAGCTTCCATCATCAGCGGTGAAGTGTAAACTGGCCTAGTTGACTGCAGCGTTTGCATCAAGTCACACAAGTTTACGCAGATAAAGAAACTATTTCGTAGTTTGCGTTTGCTGATGTTCCAAAAGTTGACATGGATCAGGCCTCCTTATACGCCAATGCCAATGCCCTGCAAAGGCGGGACGCGGAGGCGACGTTGCGCACGTTCATCCCGCGCATGAACTGGCACGACGAGCGAGAAACAATTCTTGATGTGGGGTGTGGTTCAGGTGAGTCACATATCACGCCTCATTTAAAACGCATGAAAAAATTATCTGGTATGATTTCATGCTATGCCCATCAGATATTATGTCGGTCACAGATGATGATTTGAACTTGCAGCTCTTCTTTTAAATATAACAGTACACATAGGTAACCTATAAATGAGATCGAGTGCTGGCTAAAACAAGATACTGGAAAATTTCTTCCAGGAAGTCGTACGAAATAATTACTTTGGCAGGTAAATATAACCCTCTGTCTCCCGCTCTGCGTAACATTTCGGAAGTGGGGCTAAAGCATAAAATTTTTAAAATATAATGGCGATCGATACATGAAACAAATTATCCAAATGTACGATTATAATAAAAAAAAACAGATAGATAGCTATCAAAGGTCGTGCTAGACTGTCATTAAAATTCTTTTAAAGCATCATTATTACCCGGTGTTGCGCGGTACAAATAATATTCAATATTCAAGGTCCCATCATCTCGAATCGCAAACGCCGTCGTCCCAGTCGAGTAATTCCAAAACCCGTAAATTTAAATCCAGGTATCCCGAATTGCGATGTACGTATAATCCTGTCATCCCGAATTCCGTTAATATTAAAATTAAATTAGATCAAAAAAGAGATATAACTTGAAAAAGCAATTGTTGCCGAACAAAAATTTTCAAAAACACTCGAAAGCGGAAGTTAAAATTTTAAATTATATTAGAAAATACTTTTTAATCCAAACATATTTACTGTGATTTTAGAATCCCATCAGACCAAATCTCCTCAATAATTCTTCAGATTATAGTCACTCATGATTAAGAAACATTCAAATCCGCATTCAACATGAAAGTCCCTTACGACTCTCGCCGTAAAATGTTGACAGAAATCAGCTTCTGTCTTTAAATATCAATGCGATCAATTCAAACTTTTCACACATTTCTTTACGGTTTCGTAATACCTTACGATTCTTCGGCTAAAATACAATTTCCTGTTCAGGCAATATCGCGACACTATCGCGGCACTTATACCGCGACACCAATATCGCGACACTATACATATAATAATAGTGATGTCTTTGGATTTGTGCGGCTTCACACAAATGAAAAAAATTTAAAAACTTTCCAAACTATAAGATAGTTTTTGCTGTTGGATATGAGAATAAGTTTACAGCGATTGACGACTACTATTGTTCGATAGATTAGCACTTTAGCTTTATATGCTAATGGAACATAGTGCACAGCGGGTGTATATGGTTACGTACGGCCAGTGCTTATTATCACCCTCAGGCAGGCGACTTGACATCATCATCGTTTTAACCTTCATTCCATTGGAGCACATGAAATTCTTGGAGCATTTTAAGCCTCTGGTACTCAATGCGATATCATAACGCATATGCATCCCATACCATTGAATCACACGAGATTCTAGCGTATACCGCGTCTCTGGCAGGCGATATGGCGTCGTAACGGTTTTAAGCCTCATATCATTGCATGATTGCATCATATAAAATTCTATGGTGTTCCGCGTCTCTGGCAGGCGATATGGCGTCCTAACGGTTTTAAGCCTCATATCATTGCATCGTATAAAATTCTAGAGCATTCCGCGTCTGTGGCAGGCGATGTGACGCGCAACTTGTTACTGCCTCTGCTGCCGTCTTGGGTGTCGCGTGTGGTGGCCGTGGACGTGTCGCCTCGTATGGTCGACTTCGCGGCCAAAAACTTTGCCCACAACATCATCGACTTCCGTCACCTGGACATAGAGAAAGAGGAGAACCCCAGGCAAAAGTTTCCCGAAGGATTCTCTAAAGTAAGCCTTCGAGCTTATTATTCAAATTTTGCAATGTTTTATCTCTGATTCAAAACGCACCGAATTTGCGGTTATTCTTATTAACACAATGTATCAAGAAATGTTCATTCTATGGGATTCAGTATTCTAATTTTCTTTAACCTGTTATTATTCCTATACACCACAAAGCCTCAGTCACTGTAAACTCTCCTGAATATTTATTTGCATGCTGCGACGACTAAGACTTGTCGTGATGCAGATATTCTCCCTGTACTGCCTGCACTGGGTGCGCGATCAGCCGTCATGTCTTGAGAACCTCTTCACTTTACTCCGGCCCTCGGGTGAAGCTCTGCTCGTCTTCCTCGCAGCCAACCCGCTCTTCGATGTCTACGAAACCCTCAGCATGGATCCCAAGTGGCAGCCGTACATGAAGGTTGTGCCTTTATACGCTTGTCATTTATTCGTGTGACTTATAATTTGAAAAATACACGTATTAATCAGTCATCAAATCAAGTGACTGTAGAGTAGATTATTTCGATATGAACAATATTGAAGAAACAAGGTCATGATCCTACCTTCGCTGAGGAAGCGACTGAATTCGAAGACATTTTTCATCACTGCCTTGTAGAATACAATATTTTTCTGTGCTACTAGGTATTGTGTTGGTTATATGATTAATAAATTCTTTGGAGCTAAATTCTTCCTTTGTGAATGACATGTTGCGTGAGATTGTCTACACGTTAAACTACCTGCAGGATTTACCAGATAAGTATTTCAGTGTTACCATTTACGAGACAAACTATTCAGAAAAACATTTCAAGATTTGCAATTCATATTCACCGAATCGACAGCCAGACCCTCGCAAGCCTAAGATGAGGCATAAAATATGGAATTGAATTAATTTCACATTGAAGACAGGCGCGATTCATTATTATAGAGATCTCTCGTTGAGCAATTTTATGGTTTAAATTTAACGGTGGCACTATGTTGGTGGTGCGATGCAAATTCTTGCCAGGTTATCTATCATATGTCAGGCATGGAGACAAATTTTTATAAACTAAAAAGTGCGTTGATTAGAATTAATTGTTCGATCGCCGAAAATGTTCACTTACCACATGGAGGGCCCCGCGTGATACTATATATAGTGATACATTTAACACAATTGGGAATCCAAGATTATAATGCATGCAAAAAATTAAGTCAATTTTTCCAATTACATATCGTATATCAGTGGCTCCGAGCGTATGTTTTCTGATTTCAACTAAACTCAGTGCGTGTTCCAGGACGTGTCGAACTTCGTACCTGTACACCAACATCAGAAGGATCCCGCTGCTCTGTTCGCACGGGCTGCAGAAGACGCAGGCTTCGAAGTCCTAACGTGCCAAGCACCTGAGATGAAATTCGTCTTCGATAACATCAACTACCTTAAAAGTGAGGAGAAATCAGCAATGAATGTGGATTATACAGAAGGCTAGTGTGAAAACAGCAGCTCGTGCCGTATTAAAAATTTGAATTTGCATTTGAAAATTTACATCAAAGACAATCCTTTTGTTTACTAGATGCGGTGAAGGCTGTCAACCCTTTCATCTCGAGGATGCCCGTAGAAGGTAAAATAATGTTCCTTAAATCACGAATGATTCAAGGTCTTTATTTCTCTTCTACAGTCTATGCCCACTGTATCACTGTATCAGACATGGTGATATTTCTTAGCCTTAATTTTACAGAACCAAGGTAACCTGCCGGTGTATGTTTGATTCAGCAAAATAAAATTAGCTGTGCATTAGCAAGTTGCAAGCTAGTCTCAGTTGCAGATCACCTATAGATATAAAAATGTACAGAATGAAATTTGCAGGATAGTATTTGAAAACAACTACTGTATAGCTGAACGGACAATGTAATACAAGTTTGGTAGGTTTGAAGTAGGTAAGAAGCATAATCATAGTTAATTTGAAACTTGTTATTGTTCAATTAAATGGCTGGAGTAGAGGAATAAAGAGCTTTGAATTCACAGAGCAAGAAGAATTCCTGGCGGCGGTGATGCAGTTGCTTTCTGAAGGCAACAACAACAAGCAGGAGACCGTGGCGCGGTACTCGCTCATGGTGGCTCACCTCCAGCGGCCTGAGTGATGACGAGCTTCTTATGAGTTGACGGAAGCGAGGAAACTCCCACCGTGTATGCAGATCATTCAGATAACTAAACATCATGAATACGCAACATCCGTGTGACAACATCCCTCAATGCGCAATTCTCAGTGGAAAACAACATCCAGTGAGACGCAATACGCAATGGATAACACCGAATAAATGACGCTTTTTTATACATAAAACACAGGTAACAACACTTCTCTGTACTCAGCTCCCTAGCAACAACACTTCTCTTTATTCAACACCCTAGCAACAACGCTTCTCTGTACTCAGCACCCTAGCAACAACGCTTCTCTGTACTCAGCTCCCTAGCTACAACGCTTCTCTGTACTCAGCTCCCTAGCTACAACGCTTCTCTGTACTCAGCACCCTAGCAACAACACTTCTCTTTATTCAACACCCTAGCAACAACACTTCTCTGTACTCAGCTCCCTAGCAACAACACTTCTCTTTATTCAACACCCTAGCAACAACGCTTCTCTGTACTCAGCACCCTAGCAACAACGTTTCTCTGTACTCAGCTCCCTAGCTACAACGCTTCTCTGTACTCAGCTCCCTAGCTACAACGCTTCTCTGTACTCAGCACCCTAGCTACAACGCTTCTCTGTACTCAGCACCCTAGCAACAACACTTCTCTGTACTCAGAGAAGTGAGTTCTTTTTCTCCAGCTCATTACTCGCAGTTTGCCTGAGGCCTGTTAGCAACTTTTTTCTGTCTTGTACTGTCGGAGCAGAGGTGCAGACATTTGGCCACCATGAAGTCGGCAGTGGGCATCGGTTCTGCAGGCCTCATACTGCCTGGTATTAGGTGACAGTTTCTGGAAGCTTTACAACGTGCACACTGTTTCTTCGTTTGGCGAGAACGAGCCCCGTCAACTGCGACCTTATTCTTGCTCTGCGACTTGGATGGTGACTGCTGGGAACCAGCCCCAGCGCCTCGACCACCGAGCGCAGTGCCTCAAAGAAAGTGTCTTACCAGCAACAATGGCGGTGACTGCTGGGAACGAGCGACTATATACCGGCTTCAGTGGTGATCGCAGGGAGCCAGCCTCTTCGCCTCGACTACTGAGCGCAGCGTCAGGAAGATTTTCCTTGCGAACTGTGCGGCAAGCGTCGGTAACCAGCTCCGATGTTTTGACCATCATTTGCCATTGGGTGTATCTCAATATTAGTTTTATGTTTCAAAGTCAAATGCAAAACATGCCGTTGTAGCATTTTTCTGTCAATATTAATTCCTGAATCACGTGCTTACTGAGATTTCATCCATATTATCTTATAGCTTCAATTTATGGCATTCGAAACTTTTCATTGTCCATTACGAATTACAGTACCTGACAGCATGTGCTCTATTTCCAGCTTTACTAAGTCATTGCAGAATTGGTTGGATTTTGAAAAAGCTATCAAGGTAACGTGATGCGAGGCTTTCCCGCAAAAAACACTTTTTCTTCTATAAGATTCATATGAGATATCACTTTATTTTTTTCATGAATATATGAACTTGAATACTATAGCATGGACATGTCGCCCATGTATGGACGGCAGCACTTCTCGTACCCTCGAACTCTCCCTCACTGCGGCAAGTGTTCAGTTAACGCCACCGTCAAGGGCCGTAGCTGCTGTCGACGCGCTGAAATTCCTGACGCTGCTGGTGGTGAAGGGAGTTAGGTTCTTGCGGGTGTCGATATGGTGGAGCTATGGCACGAGGAATTTCTCAAATAGTTTTTACGACTATCTAGTGGATTGCTGTTGCGTTTCTTCGTTTCCGCATTAACTGGTAGCATTAATGAGGTTATATATGCATGGAATTGTTTACACTGGATCTCGGGTGTGATCATGTAGCATTGTAGCTGATTTATAGGGTGTGCGGTGCTTCATTAAATTTGTTCGAGGTTCGTATAGGTGATGGGCTTTGAATGTTTTTGTCATTTTTGCTGTTGTGTTCAATGTATAACCACCGTTTTTAGCTACTATTTGGTAATATAAGTTTTTTTTACCATTTCCATATACATTTTAACGTGATCAGGCACGGGACAGAAGGCCAGTTATATTAATAATACGCTAGCACGGTATTTGATCTTATGATTTTTAATAAAGCGGTTTCACGTTAGTTCAATTTTTCTCCGTGGATGCATTTGAAAATTATCAGGTTGTTGTTATTTGATTATACTTTCATTGATACGTTATCCTATTCATGAATTCTAAATTTAAAATTGCAAATGGCTTCTAAATCTGCAAAAATGTGCCAAGCGGTGAAATATACACTATTGAAATTAGTCTGCCCCTCCGCATAATAAATAAATTCAACCAATAAATCAAAACCAAAAACCAAAAGAATAAACTAATCGCAATTAAATGAGTGGAATTTCCGGATTGATATCTGCACTCCAAAAAAGTAGGAACACAAATCAATTCAAGTTCAAGCATCACAGTTCTATGGTGCTTTTATCGCAGAAGCTGGAGAAGTTTTTTACGATTTCTAAAATATTTGAAGTACTCCGTCCCTCATAACGTTTAAAGAGACTTTTGCAGGTTAGAGGGTTGAATAATTTGGAATAAATATGAATGTGCCAAGAAAGGTAGAAGATTAAATAAATTTTGACCGAAAAACAGATGTGTATTTTGTGCAGCTTAGCTTTCTTAATTCTCCCCAGTCTCTCAGTATATTAGTACGCAATTTGGTGACAAAAAAAAAACATAAAATTGCAAAAAAGGATGCGAATAAAATCTCAACGAAATATTCTATATTCTTTACTAATTGACTGTAACAACAGATTAAATTGATCCACGTAATGACCATTTGGATTAATTTTCTTCGGGAAACGGTTCAGCGGTACACAACATGCGACCGCTCCCCTGTGCGCCATCTGAGCACGCCACGAACTTCTTCATAGCGCCTATAGTATTCCTCCGCGTATAGCGACTCGCGCCTATAGAGGCCATTTCATGGAAGCCTCGACATATCATTTTAATTTTATTATCCTCAGGCAGAAATATAGAAGTATGGGGCAAACCTCAACTATCGGGACGGCTTTTATTTCATTAAGGAGATATGCAAATTTGTATAATCAACGATTCCTTAAAGGTAGGCCGTCTGTAATAACACAATTTTTGTGATTAATGCGATTAATCCTCAACAAATTTATCCTCAAACGGACGCGGGAAATACCATCGAGTTGTGTACATCAGAGACAAATATCTTATCGATTTGGTGTGAGATTTGCGAAATAGATCGTAGCTGAAATGAATCACAAAGGTTGGACCCTTAACTACAAGCGGATGAACGAAGACGAGAGGTTTTGGCTTCGCACTCCACTTGTGACTTGCATTTTGCAAAAATTTTGCGTTGAGACCAATTATGGCGAGCTCTGATAAGTGTCGAGTGCCGGGGTCTCACTGGACAGTCAATCTCGGTGCTGTGTATTCTTCTGGTGAATATTTGAGCTTATATATCTGATTAGTTATTAAGTTAAATGATAAGTTATTAGTTCTCTGATTAGTTATTAAGCCGCCTTTACGTATGAAGCTCAACGTGTCACAGGAAGGATATGTACGGGACCTTTACTCGTAGTAAAAATAATTAATTCCGATAAATCGATCTCAAATGATTCAATTATTGAATTGTGTAACTGATACTGACACACAAAAATTGTGTTCCTACATAGACAAAATGCTATCGGATTCAGAAGACAATTTTCAAGTAAATTGGGCATTTTCTCTACAGAGAATAAATTCTTTTACTTATTTTTTCAGCAAATTAACGCTAATAACTTTTAATTACCATCAATCTTGAGGCACTTAATTACGAAAATATTTTTCAGAAAAAAATCTTATCATAAACAACACCCGCAAAGAGAATCGCGCGCCAACAATCCACTGCACGAATTGACAAAAGAACAAAAACAATAGCGAACCAAGGCTTAAATTAATTGATCACTTGTGAAACGCGCTTCAGTCATTCAGGATTTCCATACTTCAAGTTTACAAACTCTGTTAATATTATCAACTACACAAGCAATGAACAGACCGCCTCAGAGTGAGGCAGCAAGACGTGCAGCATGACGCGGCCTGCAGTAACATTGACAGAGCCCCACAATATTTTTTTTTTGTGATGACATAACTGAATTAATGTATTGATAAATAGGGTTAGCGTACTCGTGGCTTGATTTTCTAACTCGTAACAAAAAAAATCTTTCTATGGCTCCATGTGAAGATGAAATTCTCTTTTCAATTATTTCAATACTTTAATTCAATACCAAGTGCACATTTCAATTCAATACTAAGTGCAAATTTCTACGGATCGTTGTAGCTGGCGCGGAACTTGCAATGAAAGATGCGAGTGGGAATTCGATGTCTCATATGAATATTTTATACATACTTGCTAGCTAAAGTTCATCAACGAACATTAATGGTTATTTATGCTAAGTTCAAAATTTACGAAGGAAGCATCAAATCTTCTAAATGGACATCAAATACAGCTCTTTTATTGAACTGAGAGAAGTTGTCATGGGCGTCTTCGTATTAAGTAAAGCTTATCCCCATAGTATTGACGGCCAAAGCAATTAGGTTCACTAAATTCAATACTTGAGCAGCACCTGATCATAGAGAAGCAGCACGGCAAGAACTCGGCCTATAATTCCAAAAAAAGTTAAGAGATCGTAAGTTCATCAGCCAATCATTGACGGTCTTTCAAGCAAAATCCATCAATCGTAGACTAGAAAATAGAGCGCAAGTACTTACGTTCACTTAGCAAGTTTTGAAAGTATGGCCCTGGTAGTTTCGTCTGAAGACGACCGCTAGGCGACAGTTAGGAGGAATACTGTCATAAAATCATTGTCCAGGCGCACTGAATTCCTGATTAATACTGTGAAAATCAAATACTCTTGCATAGGAACTGGTCTATTAACACTGCGACACCAGATACGATAGTTCGGCAGAAATATGTTCCGCTTGCCACATTTTTCCAAGTGCCGTTCTTGCAGCGTTGGTATTTCGAACTACAACTACAAGCGATTCAGATCAAGACTCAAACTATAGATTAGTTAAAGAGGCAAGATAATAGCGTGCAAGTAAGGCGATTTAGAGTGACACTTTGCACAAATTTGGGGTACAGATAAAGAGTAAATCGAAGAGGAGTTAAAGGACCTAGTAAATAACAAAAGTGAGATAATATTCGAGAATGAAATATTATTATAAAAAATCATTCGAGATTGAAGTAAAAATGTTACAGATATTACGAAGTTAAGAAATTGAGAAGTTTGAGACGACTGATCTAATAGTTCATCACACTAGACGTGGAGCAAGTTCATCACACTGATAGGCCAGAATGAAACGAGAATCACATCGCCAAATATCGTAAACGAGCAAAGCGAGCGCTGGGAAGGCGTGGTTTTATGAGAGTGTGACCAACACTCACGATGACTGTTATTATATGAAAGGATTGGTTCTAAAGGGGAACAAAAATGAACAAATACAACAAATAAACTTACAAAGAAAAGGTGAGAACGATAAAGTAGAACAACGTTCGAGGTACACTAATCCAGCTTTACTGACGGTCGCTGACTATTATATGCATCATATCTTAGTGATGCAAAGACCTATACGCTATATTGGCTGCTTATCCGTAAATCACATACTTTGTATCATAATCGATGTAGCTACTTAATAACAAGGTGGCTACTTAAAAACGATTATATACTTAATAACGATGATATAGCAGATCACTTCTGCGAAAAAATGTTCTGATTGATCAGCACGGAACAAATATAAGTACAAGATATACATACTATGCCATGCAACAAACGTTTCTTCGCTTGTTGTATTCAGGAGGAGAGGAAACCTTTTCCTCTATAAACTCCATATGCTCTTTGAGGAGAGCAAATAACTTTATAATATAGGATCACTCGAAAATTATTCGCGATTATTGCACTCTATTTACAAGCTTCAGAGACCACAGGAAGTGCGGCGTGACGAAAAACATGGATTGCACCAGAGCAATGAATTGCGAACCCTTACGTCACATCTGCATCAATATCTTCGACATCTACATGAATATCTTTGACATATCCATCAATATCTTCGATATCTCCATCAATATCTTCGACATATCCATCAATATCTCCGACATATCCATCAATAACTTCGACACGAGCAGAATCTCGCTAACGTTTTTCCGATCGCTGGAACTTGCATCCGTTGCGTTCGATAATTTGCATTATTATATTTTACGTGTGTGGGAAAAATCTTCGATGGTTATTTTGATTTGGCATCTTGCATTGAAACTCTGCCAAGGTAATATTAAAAAAATTAGGCGTATATGAACTATGCTGCGTATACACGCTTAGACATGTTTATCACAAATGAGGAACACTATAGAATGTTCGTTGGTTTATTGCGTGAACATTTTTTAACTGTCACAACTTCAGATGGACCGACATGACATCCACCCTGAACACCCAAAGCATCCCTGACATCCACAAGTGATGCTGGATACGTGGATATTCGACTAGAACTTCACAGAAGCATTTGAGGGCGCGGGACAAGAGTTGACTATAAAATAGCAACACTCATTCCATCCCTAACAAAATTTAGAGTCGCCCCAACTTCTGGTAATCCTAATGAGAAGCTGGAGCGACCCTAAATTTTGTTAGAGATGAGGCTGACTCACAGCAGTCAGCTCGGCAGACGTTTCAACTAAATATAATACCGAACCAGGAACACTTTTATGACCAAGGAGCTTTCGAGGTAAACTCGAGCAGCGCTTGTATAAGAAATCGGTTCTACAAAACCTTAGATTATTATGTTCATTTACAATGTTTCATATTAGATGCACAAGTCTAAAAGGAGAAAAAGGAGATGCAATTGAATCTTTGTATGTGATAACTAATGAAAGTCAATAGTTCTGTGCTGCAGAACTGTTAACTTTCTGTGTGAACAATTGAACACTGAGCTCGGATGTGTAAAGCCAAAACTTCATTTGTTTGAGCCGTTCAAATTATTTTCTAGGTAGAGTGAAATGTAATACAAATCTATTCCAGAAAGTTTATACCACAGAAGTTAAAATTAACCATTAATCAATATATAAATTGACCTACTAAAGAAAATCGTACTACGCATACGAAACGCTGAGAACATTTTTGCTAGATTTTCCAGAAGATGCCGCTTCATCGGTCTCTTCAGTGATAGGTTTTTCTTTGCCGCCATCGGAACGGACTGATCTTTTGACCGACTTCTGAATCTTCTCGTCGGCAATTCTTTTGGCCGACGACACCGGCGCAACTTTCCTGGACCTGCGACTCCCTACCTCAACTTCCCTAGGTCGGGAATCGCTCAATTTCGAGGCAAGTGGGTCGTCGTTTTGATTTAAGCTATTTTGAGTTGAGTGACTAGATGTTTTAGGGACGGCTCCATTACCTCTGTACGCCTGCCCAAACTTTTTCTCTTGCATGGGATGAACTGACACGTTCCTACCGTGCAACTGATCGGCCACGCTGAGGGAACTTCTTCTCGCTGCCGCCGTCTTCGACAAGTCGTGGCGGGACTTTGATGTCGAGACGCCAGTTTCAGGAAGAAACTCCGGGGACAGCGGCAATTGGTCACTCAGAATAGTCAAGCGTCTCTTGAGGTCCTCCATGTCTGTTGTCGGGCTGCAGTAGGACAAGGGTGTAGACCTCCTCCTCGATGACAGATTTTCAGCCGATGTAAAAGATTGAGCAGTTTTCACCGCAGCTGCGGACGATTGATCTGCAGGTGCAGTTCCATGAACTACAGCAGCAGGCGATGATGAACGTCCAGTTGCTGGGACAGGTGTAGGATGAACAATAGTATGAGCTGGCAAAGGAGCGTGAGGCGTTATGACTGTCGGTCGACCGACGGCAGCAGCAGCGTGAGGGGATATACTCCCAGAGCCCGCTATGGCTTTAAAATTTTGGCACACATTAGGAAGCCCGAGACGCTCACGATATTCGAAGGTGCTACTGAGCTCAGGCTCTGACTTTTTCCTGTGCAGAGGATCCGCTGACGTGGGAGTTGCGTAGGAACTAAGACCCGAAATACTACGAGAAGAGCGAACGCCCTGAACCTTTCCTCCGTCGCCTGAACGACGGCCGCCTGAAGATAACGTCGCGTTTCTGACACCAGCGAACACCCGAGGCCTCATGTCCCGTAGGGTTGGATCGTTCTCCTCAACCTCGCTGAGCTGGAAATATCCCAAGGCGCTGTGGCCTCGACTGCTCGGTAAACTTTCCTCTCGGGCTTCTTCCTGTACAACGGGTCGTCTCTCGTCAGACCTCCCTCTAGAGTGCACTGCGGTAAACTTCCTTATGTCAGTTTTCGTTTCTTCGTCACGCTTCTTCACCGTGTCTTCGGAAGTTCTTTTCTCCTCAGCGATATTCTTGTCTTTGTAAAAACTTTTATTTCCAGGCAGAACTGATCGACCAGGTCTTGTTGACGAATTTGCAACGGTGGCTGAGATGAGACCTGAGTTATCCTGCAACAATAAAAGCAATGAGCCGAAATCGTTTTTAAAATTCGTAAAATAATTTAAAAATGATTCCGACTAAAAGACTTGTGGAATAATCTCGTATGGCTTTATTATAACAATATTGTGTAAGCCAACTACCAAATTGCCTATTTTGAACGGTTGCGGGAAACGCCACGTACTTAAATCACTATTCGAAGGCAACCAATCAGTAAACAGTACAAAACTGCCTTTGTAAAATATTAAAAGTAAGCATTCATTGCACACACTAATGAATGATTATTCCAGAAGTAACTCGTACCCGATTAGACAAGCCTGCGCCTTCACCAGTCCCTCCAGGACAAGACTTGTGGGCGACGGCAGGTTCTGTCCAGTCGCTCGCATCAGAAGTACAAGACTCGACTCGGTCATCGTCGTCGCTGGTGTCACAGCTGTCCGATAACTTGGGTCTTTTATTGTTGTTGTCTGAGGAAGTTATCACGTCTTCTGAGGTGTTGTTGCGTCCTGCTGTCTTAGAGCGAACTACTGCCAGCGGGGTGACGTGTTCCAGGGCGTCCGTAAACTCGTGGGAGCCAACTGAGTCAACGTCGTCAAAATTGAGACGTGCTGCTGGGCGGCGCACGTCACGCAAGGACAGCGACAACGAAGATTCGTCGTCGAACCCGTAGATGTTGTCGCCGAGACCACGCGACGAAGCGGCTACAGCAAAGGACGCCGACACGTCATCTTCCGAAGGATTTCTGACCAAGTCTGTAATGGGAAATAGTACACAATGGGAGATGGTTCATTTATTTAGGTGAGTTTGATGCTATGAAAGACTTTGAAACCAATGCGAAAAAATTCTTTCTTAAAAAATAAGTGACACTAGTGAATAATTACACATGAAACGTGCTAAAAGAATCATTAAATTAGAAATTCGCTTGAATCTACCCCGGCTTAAGTGGACAATTTAAAACCATTTTCTCTCTAACAATAGCCCGCGCAGTGTAACTGGCCGCGTACTTCATAAACTAAATCCTAGACATAAAATATTCCACTTTTAATCTTAAAGCCTTATATTTCGCATGCTTCATCATGAACTTGAACTCGTCGGATGGTGAGGCCTCTACCAAGGCCTGTTCACCTCTCCAAAGTCAAAGATAACCCGATTCAATACATGCAAGAGCCTAATTCTGACATTCTGGCTCATATAGTGATGGCTGGTTCCTCCATAATAAATCAATTCAAGTAAGTAGAGACGCGCCTGATATTTCTCATGTTTCATCATAAATCAATTCATGTAAAGTTGAGACGCGCCTGATATTTCTCATGCTTCATCATAAATCAATTCATGTAAAGTTGAGACACGCCTGATATTTCTCATGTTTCATCATAAATCAATTCAAGTAAGTTGAGACGCGCCTGATATTTCTCATGCTTCATCATAAACCAATTCAAGTAAGTTGGAACGTCATGTTCCACCGGACCTCGAGTGCCCCCACCTTGCAGCGCTGCCTGGCCAGCATTAGCCACGGTCTTGCCCTCATCAACGCTGTGGTTCTTGCCGAAGTTCCTAGCAGAGAAGGGCACACGACTGCGCGCCGTGTCCAGCATCGTGCGCAGGAACGACTCAGACTTGGGCGCATCTGCTTCAGAGACGCCGGCGTCCGCGGTAACATCTTCGTCACACACGTCACCAGGGGCGTGAGACATGCAGGGTCGGGACGGAGGCTGTGCGGTGAAAATCTCCATTTAAATGATAGACAATAAGCAGATGATAGACAATAAGCAGATGATAGACAATAAGCAGATGATAGACAATAAGCAGATGATAGGCAATAAGTAGATGATAGACAATAAGCAGANACAGGATAGGATCGGTTGACAGGATAGAATAGGTTGACAGGATAGGGTGAACGTGTCAACTTACGGCACTCACGTCAGAAGCGACATCGTCAGCAGAAGGAACGGCAGAGCTGCTGACAGCGTCGCCGTCAGCAGCTCTGCTTGTAGTGGCGTCAGCGACCGGGGACTGTGCTGCTGCATGGCTGGCACTGTCAGCACTGCTGGTGCTGCTGGCACCGATGGTGCTGCTGGGCGTGATGCTGGCACGCAGCACCGGGTGCTGACCGTACAAGTTGCTGACATCAGCAGCGTTGGAGGAGCGGGTGAGGGTGTGCGTCAAGACGTTGTTGACGTTGCCGGTGCCGAGGTTGGGATCGTCGTCGATGATGCCGATGATGATGTTGTCGCTGCTGCCCGCCAACTGTAGCAACACCGCAACATATAGAACATCTGTGGTGAACACCTATTAATATTTAATATTAATAGCGGTTTCAGCGTTTATTAGGCCGTAGGCCTGTAGCCGATTCTTAACATCGCAGAACATTTACAGCATTTTGCGGTCTCGAACGCGCAACCCACTGCTACAATTCTGCTGTGCTTAACCGCCCGGCCTCCTTGCCGATTCTGACCAGAAACTGGCGCACAGAGCTGGGATCGAACCCGCGCCTCTCTGCTCCAATTTTGGTACTCTGAACTTTAACTACCGTAACAGCTATGGTGAACAGCTATGTGAACAGCTATGTGAACAGCTATGTGAAGACAACAACACATACAACACATACAACACTCACGTTATAGCCGTAGTGGCGTAGGATGTCCATCTTACACATAGGACACGTGCGGTGGTCCAGGAGCCACGGGTCCACACACGCTTTGTGGAACTCGTGCCTGCGGACAACGTGTAACATTAAACGTAGCTTCATTATTCATGTATAATAACATTAAACATAGCTTCATTGCTCATGTATAATAACATTAAACATAGCTTCATTGCTCATGTATAATAACATTAAACGTAGGTTCATTATTCATGTATAATAACATTAAACGTAGCTGTTCATTATTCATGTATAATAACATTAAACGTAGCTTCATTATTCATGTATAATAACATTAAACATAGCTTCATTGCTCATGTATAATAACATTAAACGTAGGTTCATTATTCATGTATAATAACATTAAACAAGGAACTTCATTTATACTGTTTACAATATATATTATAAAAAACAATTAGTATTGTTTATTGTTCATTTATTATTACTTACCATATCTATTAAAATAACATTTAAATCTACTGGCGAATATAGACTAGACCAAAGGTTTTTTTTATTTTTTTTTTAGTGGAATAGTTGAAAGTTGCAATCGTAATTTATAAAGTAAGTTCTATGTGATTTATGTTATCCTAAATTTGATACAGAAATTGTAGTCCTTATTTATGAACAAAACAGTCACGACGTAAGATAATTCATAATTGTACACAATATTACGAGTAAATATTAATATTCACGTAGGACTACTTCACCTCCTTGTTGAGTGCGATATGCCCTGAACATTACATTTAACATCTAAATTATGATTTAACATCTAAATTAACTGACCCTTGTTAACAATATAAATTACAGGAAACATTGAACTCATCATTTAATTGCACGCCGCAGATCTCGTTATGTTTTAATGTTACATTGAATGTTTTAATAAATGTTACACTGAATGTTTTTACACTGAATGTTTTTAACTCGTTATGTTTTAATGTTACAATAAATCCTTCCTGTTACCGGGCGCTGAACTAACGCGCTAGTTGCATCAGGAGGCTCGAGATGTACGTATAGACCGTCCTCAAATGTCTTCTAATAAGTAAATAGTAAATAAAAACTGCGAACTGTGTAAAAACTTTGAAGCAGTTTGCACTTACTTTTTCTGCACTTTGTTAAGACATTCATTAAAACTTCATCCTATATTTATAATAAATTGTTTTTATTTGGGGGAATATCGAGTTAATAGAGAGAAACCCTTTTCTACATCATGATACTGCAGAGAAGAGAAACTATAAGAAACAGCAAGATAATAAAATAAAATTAGAATATTGAGACCAGAGAGAGGATAAATCTTAGCGATACAATTTTACTACAGAGATAAGTCTTATCTTACAGAGATGCCCGCCTCAGGGAGAACCTCTTTGTGAGGCTGATAGGACTTAAGTGACCTCACAACACCAGCAGCAACTCTGCTGGCCTCACAACACCAGCAGCAACTCTGCTGGCCTCACAACACCAGCAGCAACTCTGCTGACCTCACAACACCAGCAGCAACTCTGCTGACCTCACAACACCAGCAGCAACTCTGCTGACCTCACAACACCTGCAGCAACTCTGCTGACCTCACAATACATAATAGCGCTTAAAATTGTTTTGTACAGATACGAAATGGAAATTATCGAAGTAAGATAAGAAATAACCCCTGTAAGTAATACTATAGGGAACAATTGCTAACGTCGCATTTCAGTAGAATTACGTAGAAACAACTTGGATTACGGGTTGATTTATTTGAAACAATGTTTAATCAAGGTTATTTCAGAGTAATATTTCATCCACATTGCAGAATTGCGGTAGGAAAATATGAGCAAAATATGAGCAAAATATGAGCAAAATATGAGCAAAATATGAGCAAAATATGAGCAAAATATGAGCGCGGTGCTCACCGACACGGCAGCACCCGAGCAGCGTCGCCGGTGGTGTACGCCTCCAGACACACGGCACAGCATTCCTCCAGCTGTAGCTCCTGGTAGTGATCAACAAAACGATCGTAATTAAATTATATATTCCTATAATTCAGCTTTCTTCAGAGCCAAAATACTTTTACGGTGTCACCTGTGATTGTAGTCCATTCACTCAGATTCAATGTCCGTACTCTCATATGAAATCTTGTTTGATTTCCTTAGAAAACTGTGAGCTCGCCCTAGTTTGTTTGTTCACTAGCCTCCAAATAAATCCTGCGAACACAAAGCCCTTCCTATATATTCAGAGAATTGAGCTTGTGCTATGAGCTAAAAGTTTCGCTGGCAATTAATAAACTTTGAATATTGGGATTTATAATCGCTTTGAATACGGTAGTACGCGCTCGATTTGGTTTCAATTTGAAGATTTCTATTGTTAGTTTATTCCGCTAACCCTATTTAGATATTTTTCGATAAGATCTGTCTCTGTACGGGGTGTTACAGGGACACTAGGTGACGATTGCCGACTACAGCCACGGCAATATAAAATTAAAATATAGGCCTAAACATTCGATATAAAAAAGTTCTGGACAGCTTCATGGTCATTGTGCCCTTCGTAACTTGGACTTGAGATACAGGAAATACATTTTACATCAGAAGTCCAAAAATGTTTAGACCAGTGAATACATGAAGAGTTACTTCAGTCATCGACGGTAACAGACCTGTCAGCGAATAAATTAATATAAATATTATGCGCCAAAATTAGCACAAAAAATATTTTTCTGCCGATCGCTTCAAATAATTAACGGCAAAATGACGTCTGGGTTTGAATTCTTATAATATCGCGGACTCCATATAGATCTCTCACCTTGTCACCGAGCTTGATGCTCTTGACAGGGATCTTGGACAAGGCCTTCTTGGCAGCGTTTGACAGGTGCTTCTGTCAACACAAACCAATTGTTAGATAATTCAATTGCACATGAAAAATTTAACGCAATTTCTAAACATAACAAAACGCATCACTTGAAATGTATTACTCTTTTATTAGTAAGTGGCATGCAAAAAAGTATACGATTACACAAAATTTCTACAAAAGAGAGTAATTCGTAAATGTTCGCTTATGTGCGACGCTGGGATGTAGTTCATCTAGTCACACGATCACAAGTGCAGGGTTCGCACCGGTATTTAGAAAAAAAAAAAATCCATGACTTTTCCACGACTCTCCATGACCATCAATATAATTTTCCAAGACTCGACAGGTTTAGCATGACTGAAAGACTAACCGTGAATATTCTTTCATCTCCTACAGTTGATAAATAGCAACCGTGTATATGCATAGCTCATTACGGCTCTTCAAAGGTGGCATGGCTCTTCAAAGCTGCTTCTCAAATATTCGACACACCGAAGTCTTTCGAACACAATGCACATATCGCCATACCTTCATGCTTTGGATGGCGAGCAATCCAGTCACGGAAGCTTCTATTCTTAACCACAAGTCATGAAATTTACACTTTCCAGGCATGGTGATGTAGAAATTGCACGCTGAAGATGGAACGCTGCCTGCAGATTAAAAACTAGTCCATTGCAACTGAGCTTGGTGACCGAGCTCACGTGATTGGTTCGCCAATCAGAACGCAGGAAACAAGACTGCACAAACAGTTTAACACAGGCAGCACAGAAAAACACTTCGTTTTTTCTTCTTTTATTTGCAAATTCCATGACTTTCCATAACCTGACATGAAATCCAATGACTTTCCAGGCCTGGAAAATGAAAAATCAAATTCCATGACTTTCCAGGTTTTCCATGACCGGTACGAACCCTGCAGGTGACTGCTTGTATAATAACGTATTGTTATTACTCAATGAAATGCGTCGTGTCCACGAATTTAAAAATAATTATGTGTCCGCGTTGTTGTCAATCTCCCGAACTTCATGAAGATTATTCTGAGAGTCTGTCACAGCCAACATATACAGGGAAAACTATTATATTCTTTTGGAGAAAGTTTGTTCCATGACGAGCTGTAATGATGGCATCTTTGATAATTAAATCTCCGCTTTCATAAAAAAATACTTACAAGTCACCATAAGGTTCCTATAATTTTAATAATTTCTTCTTTTTTAACATTATTTTGATTAGTGTTTACCGTAATATACTACCGTACCTATATCTGAAATTTTCCATTTGAAAGATCCAATCGTGACTCAAAATCAAAGCAAGTATTTTCCAAATTTATATCACAGGCACAAATAAAATCAGTAGTAGACGAGCGTAACAGGCATATGTGGAATGGTATTCATTATTGAAAAAATAAAAGAAGTGTAACCAAACAGCTATTGATTGACTACCAAGAGAGCACGCAGAATGTTGACGTAACTACAACGGCATAAGGCAGCTGTAATGTTGACGTAACTATACAACGGTGTAAGGCAGCTGTAATGTTGACGTAACCACAACGGTGTAAGGCAGCTGTAATGTTGACGCAACTACAACGGTGTAAGGCAGCTGTAATGTTGACGTAACTACAACGGTGTAAGGCAGCTGTAATGTTACCACAGGCTTGGCAACACTAATCGCCGGTCACGTATCAGAAGGGCGTTGCCCACTGGTCACCGGCAGCCCTTTGTTCTGCAGCTAATTTTCCAGGAAATTTATTATTTTCCTTCAAAACGCAAATGCTAATTGTGCAGTTGCGTTGTTCATGATTAGAAAAGTGAGTTCAGGCCCTTGAAAGTTTGCGTCTGCTTCAAGACTAAAGTCGCCAGAAATAAATACGGACCAATATATTCGATTCTATCGCATGAAAGACAAATATTCAATTATTTAGGTAAATTTCGGACGATTAACGTATTTACGGCCACTATAATTGTACTGGACAGTCAATACAAGCAGGTTACTTTTACTGAAGATCGTTGCTAACAATTTTGCGTGGCAGCCACACCACCTTTGAAAATGATATATAATAATATAATAAATAAATAATAGCGGTTTCAGCGTTTATTAGGCCGTGGGTATGTCGCCGATTGTTAATATAGCAGAATATTCACAGCTTGTTGCGGTCTCGACGGAATAGACGGTCTTAAATAGAACGCGATATTTACAAACAAAATGTGCGAGTTCAGTATACATAATGAAATTAACAAGCATTCACACATGTAAAAGAATGCCGGGAGGTACTAAAGAAACGATTTGAAGATAATTTAACTATAGAATACTTTTTATAGGTTGAATATAATTTATTAACGGGCGGGACTAAATGGGCCTCCATCACTTACAGTACTATTCAGATACAGTATGTCTCTGATAGGATATAACATAACATAACATAGTGATGTCGGCGCTGAGGTGTAGGCCTGATGTGGCCTGTCGCCGATTCTTTTCTTTTCGTGCCTTGTTCACAGAAGATCTAAACTCGTGTCATTTGACCGGATCTTTTCATGACTGACGTCTCACCTCAAATAAGGAGCGTCTCACCTGCAGACGATCTTTAGCGTTGATGTACCGGAAGCGCTGCACGTAGTAGAACACCAGCCAGGCCAGCGACACGATCATCAGCAGGATGAACGAGACGGACACGAACAGCACGCTTGTTCTGCGGGCGAGATTATGTGCTCAGCCAGCATGTATCATGACACATACATGATGCATGAGTGTATCATGACATACATGATGCATGAGTGTATCATGACATATACATGATGCATGAGTGTATCATGACACATACATGATGCATGAGTGTATCGTGACACATACATGATACATGACTGTATCATGACATACATGATACTTGACTGTATCATGACACATACATGATACATGACTCTATCATGACACATATATGACGGTATCATGACAGTGATCCACATGACTACAGACCATCACATAAGTGAACGCCTATCTTTTATAAGCTCGGTACAGCATTTACCTATAGGGAATGGTAGAGACGTGCCAAGAACAAGAATTCTTCCAGGAAAACACGAAAATACGAAGGAAATCATTGATCTTAAATAATATTTAGACGTTAAAATTTGTATTGGAGTAATTAGAAATAGAGGATTATTTGGGTTATAGGTATATAGGTTATTAGCGTGACCAGTCTGCCCGAAGATTCTTATTCATATGGTGAATTTCAGTTGGCTCCTTGGCATGTTTATGAGCATGGCGACGCTGGCTCTCCCGACACAACAAAATTATAGTTTAGCCTTCAAAGCAGGCGAGTACGCAGGAAGACTAAGACTTCATATTATAATTTAATTTATTCAGCACGGTCACTCGGGCCGATCTGTCTAGTATTTAATAGCTTCTTTGACATCGGTCATGCAGCAACAACCCAATTTTGCCAGTTGACTTTACAGCTTACACTTACAGAACGAACTAATTTCTCAGGTAAACCTTCAGAAAATATTTCAAGTTCTTACTGATTCTCAAAATCAAGAAGTCCTTTAACATTCGCTATTAGCGCTTGGTGAACTCATATAATGATTCAACTCGGACAACACAAAAAAAATGCCGTCGGTTTCACTGATTAAACCTTCCGTTGTAGCGTAAATTTATTCTAGTCATCGAAGACACATATTATAAACAACTATTACCGTTTCCTAATTTTCCTTTTTTTGCTATTGTTTCAAAGAGTGTAAACATCCGTAGTTTTTTTAATTCATCACGAGCTGAATTGTTAAGCGTGTCCTACGAGAGGGAGTTGTAGACAAGGCCAGTGTCAAGCACGACGATGGCGTCGGTCCACAATTATAAAGCGTCCGTTGGTCGTCAGTCGAGACCGAAGTGTTTAACTGACAGCTTCATTTGAGACCAAGCTTCCTAACTGATGAACTGAGACCGGGCTGGCAAGTTAACCCGAACTTCTGAACTGATGAACTGAGACCGGGCTGGCAAGTTAACTCGAATTTCCGAGCTGATGGAGTGAAACTGGGATGACATGTTAAACCGAACTTTCTAACTTATCGAATTGAGACCGCGCTCTCAAATTGAGACCGGTCAGAATAACTGATAAACAACAGCTAATAAAGAGATATCAACGGATGACTTTTCCAGACTGAAAAATTTAGACCGGGCTCCTAAATTAAGACCTCGATGACGAGCTGATAAATTTCGCTTTCTATGACGTGCCAACAAATTCGCGAGAAGCAGAAGAACAAAACCAGAATTTGAAAAATCAGAAAAAATATAATTTGAGAGGAGTCCTACGCTGAGCGCTGTCGCAACCCCTCCTCTACCCAGGTACGCCATTCTTTGGTAGCCATTGCAGACGCCTGAGGAATTCTATCCATGATCTCTGAAAGCCAACCAACGGATAACATATTAAATAATGTGGCAGAGTCTGAAGTAAAGGATAACTCTCTGAGCAAAATACAGAACAGGACGCTCATTACCCATTATGACACCAGGGGTCAGCACTTTCTCTAACGCTCGAGCTGTTTCGTGGGCGAACCTGCGGTCAGATTTTTTTTCAATAATCCAATTATCTCGGAATAACTACGTTGTTATTTTTTATTCGAATTTCGCAGCTGTGTTTGGGTGGTTTAGCTTGAATTTCCTGTGATTGACTGGTGAGGGCACAATGCTGTGATCGTGTCAGGAAAGTATGAGCCGTGTTGATATTGACGTTGTAGTGCTGTTTCTTGCGACAAACGTGCGACTTTTACGTTGAGTAATTTGTTGAGACAACCAAATATAGAAGTAAAATCTTGCACAACAGGAGTGATGAAAGTCTTGCAGTGAGACACGTGACACACTCCAGCATACCTATTGATGATGGCAGCATAGCAGCATACCTATTGATGTTAGCAGCATACCTATTGATGTTAGCAGCATAGCAGCATACCTATTGATGTTAGCAGCATACCTATTGATGTTAGCAGCATACCTATTGATGTTAGCAGCATAGTTGTGGTGCGTGCGACGCAGGCTGACGTAGATGAGAGAGCCGCCCCTGATGAGCTCGGCCACCTCCGCCCCTACGACGGGCGACAACGCCACCAGCACCAGCGACGTCGTCTCGTTCCCTGCAAACGATAAATTAAATTAAGCATTGAAATAGTGATATACTAATACAATAATACAGGAATAGATACAACTTATCCAGTAATACATAAATAGTCACTAGTTGTGTATTATTGTATGATTAGCCACTATTTATGTATTATTGTACGAGTTGTCACTATTTAAGTACCTTTTAATATAATGGTGAATATCAAGGTAACTTCTTCTAATGTCCAAAGAGATAATTTGCAAGCAAGTGGTCGCAATGCGAATTTGTATCAATTTAGAACTCAATTTCGATAATTAGTCCCTATTCCTTCCGGAATCCATTCAATATTCCTGCAAGATCACGGGTATGCAACACTAAGCAGCAAAGCGCAGGCATCGCTTCTGGCTTCAAGTATTTGTAATGCAAGTTATTGCACTGATATGAGGCAGCGTTTCGGCCTGGCGACGTAGAGCACAAGGAGCGCTTGAGAGCACAACTCCCGTCATGCGGACACGCGCTTTCCCTTGCTCGTGAAAGGAAAGTGAATCTCTTAAGAGACAAGGACGTAACTAAGTAAAGATTGATATTGGCCCTGCATGACGCACCTCTATACGCCAAGCGTTCCTAAAGCGATGCGCTGCTCATTATGTTGGTAGAAACTCGTCCTCTTGACGCGTGGAGATTTAATTGAGGGTTTGCCGTCATGTAATATGAGAAGACATAACGTGCCGAGTTAATCTCTCGAATGACTTTCCATTTCACGTCACACGATGCGACGACTATACATATTCATGCTGAGAGGAAGAGTTTCAAAACAGACTGGTCATCATGTTCAACAAAGAACATTTTTCAAATGATATTCAAAGCGCGTTTTCGTTCTAGTTGATTTTTCCACGAGATAGAATTAAATTTCCATAATGTTTCAGAAAGGTTTACATATCTATATATATCGGGGAAAAATTGTAGCTTTGTATATTGCACGGTTGTTTACTTTCTCTTAGGCATGGTTGAATACTATAACGTATTTAATTGTAATTATAATGCTGAAATTCGCATCATTTAGAAGCGTTAGCTGGACTCGGAAGTTTGTATACTAAAGAATTGCTGAAATTATCTGAGAATTAGTCGAACTAAATCAAGAAAAGCGAAGACCAGCCCCGGTGCCGGTGTGCTTAAAAAGCACGTGGCAGTGCTTTGAAAAAGAAATTACTTAATTATAGTGACTCTGGCCTGAGGAGTTGTGCGTAAACGCTTGCGTACAGCAGTGACACTTCATTAGTGGTAACGCCAACAGATCTGAATAAATATCACACTCAACTACACGGTGATGTCAGGAGCATGAATTGTACGATAAATAAGTATTAAATGCAGGAGAGATAAAGGATTAGGCATACATGTCTGGCTTCACACACAGGATGATGACGCTTGACATGGAACGCCAGTCATTCCTAATTCATAGGACGGAGATTTGTCGCTATTTTTCTGCAAAGTCCAGGTAGAAACTGGCGTCTGAAGCCGTTATTGCATAGGATTTTGCTTCGCTGAAACATTAAATTTATAATTTTAGACATCCGCGCTGAGCATTCACAGAAATGAGTGAGACTGTGTCCAAATACAGATGTACGTAATTAATTGTGTACATTACTTTGTAAAAACCGGTTCAATTCACAATGGCGAACACACATAATAGAGAAGAATGAAATTCGGTATTTTTACGAATTCATTCTGTACCCGAACATAAAATTGTTCTTCTCAATGATTTTTTTTAAATTTACCCCTTGGTTTACTAGCAGTAAATGTAATTAATTATCGCTACCAGTTCTTTTGGTACGAAGAGCACTAGTGACGTCTAATGAAACCGAATGCAGAGTATTATTAACATAGACGGAAAAATCTCGAAAATATTGTATGGACGCATCACAGTGCGGACTGCGGACCATCGTCAGGGCTGTAAGTAGGGCGCGTGTGTCAAAAACGCATCGAGATCAATGCACGTGAGGCAAAAGCAAGCGCTGTAAACAGAGCCTATACCTGTAATTATCGTGAGTGCTACGGTCAACAGAGATATAGTGACACATATGCGATTGCCAGCACGTTCAACTGCAGATTTGATTAGCGATTGGAAAATTTCCTACGTCAATCGTGTTCGGTTGATGATCAATAAATTAGCAAGGACTAGCTAGGCGTAGTGACAAATATTAACAGTACTGAAACAATACATTGAAATATCAAAGAAGTCATGGCTTCTTAATTGCATCGAAACCGCTCGTGTCTGTAGAATGACGCAGTTTAATTAACGCGGAAGTAATTCCGTTCCCACGTTAGGAGGTCATTGGGAATAAAACTTTGATATCTCAGGTTTACAAACTAAGTTCGAGTGCGGCGATTGAGAAACTTTTATACGTCCGTCTTTGAGAAATGTCTTCTTATCTTCTTATGGAATACCAAACAGAAGTCATTGTGTGATCTGAGTCCAAATCCATCCATGAAATTTTTTTAAAAATCAGGCTCGTACATCCCAAATAGAAAAAAAAAACAAAATTAATGTAAGTGTTCAGGGTCATGAGAGTGCTTGCGTCACTAGAGCTTACTTCAATGCATCAAAACTTCAGCAGAAGTATAGAAATAATAATAATAATAATAAGACTTAAAAAAACATAACAAAAAATAACAGCGATACAGTACGACACGAATCCTGGACGTCAATTTAATTTCAGTAGTTATTTTTGCACGGTGAAAGTTAAAATTTTTTAATGCTTTTTGGGAGTTGAATAATTTTGTAACAGCTTCCGAGTGAAACTTGAACTGATAATAAAAAAAAACTATTCATTGTGTGTCATGATAGCAGCGCTGTATATATTCCCATGAAACTTTAGCATGGAGACACGTTCGTAATAAGTTTGAAAGTAACGATGAATGAAATGCTCGTGCTTAATTGTAAACAAGAATTTCATTTCATAACGAAATAATTAACTCGAAATAATGTCTTAGCAGCTACAGTACGACATATCGAGTGAAATACGAAGACATGTTGTTAGGCAATAAATTTGCAGTATAGCACTCGTATCGCTCTATGTGCACTTCATCAGTGAACATAGGTTGATGCTTAATCAAAAACACAACTAGCTAATTATTCACTTGTTGTTCCCCATAAGATCATGGCACATAAATAAGAAAGCTGCAGAAAAAAACGTAGATGGCAAATCTCACAGCAAAAATTCGATGAGTGGTGTCAGTGAACACTTGCGGAAAATGAAATTAAACGTTCATGGTTATGAGCGTAGAATCAGAATATTTTTGCATTGGATCTTCTACTATTTATAATAATAAAATTAAACGGATTTGCTTGCAATCTTTTTTTACTTTTTGAACTCCGCATTGCATTTCTATTCGTGAGACTTATAAGTATAGAAAACATTGACGGTGGAAAAAGCTTATCGGACGACAGCAAATTCATCATTCCGATCAGACTACCGCGCAATGGTACCACCATTCCACCGACACTAAACACCGGTACAGTTGAGGGCTGGGGGGGTTCACGCAGGATCTGGTGTAGTGAGAAGTGAACACTTGTGCGCCACGCAACACTTGAACACATGCAGCGTTGCAGGCAAACCGTCCCCCCCCCCTCACTACACCATTCATTCTTGTCAGTGTGAAGACTGTGGTGGTTTGCATGAACATTACTCTGAATTAATGAATCTCAATTTCTCTAACAATAAAAAGCTAGAAATAAAAGCTTAACAACATGAGGCTAGTCAATTGAGAGGAAAATAAAGCTCTTGAAAAAGAAAGGGATGCCATATCACATAACATTGAACAAAGTGTACTTCCAAACGACAAAAGTGGATGGAAATATAAATCGGTGAGGATAAATTTTTTGTCCAAATTTCGGCTACAATCATACAGCAGGTACACAGCAGACTGCAAATCCAGTCTCTCGCCGCCACAGCTGAAGCAGCATCGTATAAACACAGACGTATGCTTTGCTTTGTCCGTACACTTGTGAACTGCTTACTTAATTATACATTCATTTTTCTGTGTGTGGACCACCTCTGGACGATATCATTTCACCGCATTGACCGGTGTTAAGCTCGACCACGGATGATGTCGTAAATACCTCTTTTAAGTATATCTTGATCACTATTCATTATAAGCCTACTCGACCATAAACTTCTACTATCCTAAATAACTTTCTGAGTATACCTTAATTATATTGTTTTCGAAATAATCGGCCTGAGCATAATTTCCGGTAACTTATAATTAATGTTGCGAATAACTGGCCAGAGTATACCATACCAGTAACTTATACTGAGCCACAAACTGCATGATGTGAAGTATATGTCAGTGAAGCCAAACGAATGACAAGATGGAATGGCTGATATTACTGACACACTATAAAAGTTTGGCAGTCGAGAAATAATGCATTATCTAAGCAATAAAAAATTCTTGTACATGCAAATTTCAATGATGACAATATTGGAATCGTAATTAGCCTTTTGTAAAAAACACTATGCATTGCAAATCAGCTACTTAGAGCATTAGGCACACTAACCTAGTTCAAACCAACTTATGTAACGTTGATTCTTGCATACAGGAGATGACCGAGCTATGGAATAAAGTCATATCCTAGAGTTATTATTATGGCCAGACTTAAACTATGACTGGTCAATGATAATTTTTTTATGCAAAAACACCGACTTAGGAGATGATATACCGACTTAAGGTACATCGTCATCATGCGTCATCACAATACAAAAGTGATAGTTGCGGACCCTGCGTCTTTCACTCGCGCGGTCTAGAAAGGTCGCTTTGAAAGGGCGAATCTCATGTGCCCGAAACGAGCGCATTTCCCTACTAAAAAAGCTTTAAGTAACAGAACAAAAATGAAGTTGCATCGAAAGGCAAATTTTTTAAGTATCATAGAAATTAAAATATACTTTTATGCCTAAGTTCGGGCGCTGTTAAAACATCAGATGATAATTGAAAAGGCATTTACGCTGTTTAAATTGCACAACTTTAGTAGTTTAATTA